CTGGAAATTACTGATCTCACCACGCTGGTAAATAAAGATGAAAAAATTAAGATTCTCCACATAACTGACTATGTAATTGGTTTGGTTTGGTTGGAAAGTACAGTAAAGAAGGGGATTGTGATACTATAATATGGTGAAACAATGACTGTCTATAGTAGAAATACAAATACTATAGATGGGGATTGTGAAACAGTAATTATCTGCAGCAGAAATACAGATACTGTAGACGGAGATTGTGAAACAGCAACTGTCTGATGGGGATTGTGAATCAGCAACTGTCCAATGGGGATTGTGAAACAGCAACTGTCAGATGGGGATTGTGAAACAGCAACTGTCTGATGGGGATTGTGAAACAGCAACTGTCTGATGGGGATTGTGAAACAGCAACTGTCAGATGGGGGTTGTGAAACAGTAACTGTCTGATGGGGATTGTGAAACAGCAACTGTCCAATGGGGATTGTGAATCAGCAACTGTCCAATGGGGATTGTGAAACAGCAACTGTCAGATGGGGATTGTGAAACAGCAACTGTCTGATGGGGATTGTGGATCAGCAACTGTCCGATGGGGATTGTGAAACAGCAACTGTCAGATGGGGATTGTGAAACAGCAACTGTCAGATGGGGATTGTGAAACAGCAACTGTCAGATGGGGATTGTGAAACAGCAACTGTCAGTAACATAAATACAATTACTGTAAGACAGAGATTGTGAAACAGTAACAGTCTCTAGCAAAAATACAAATACAATGTACACATACAGTGAATGGAGATTATGAAACAGTAACTGTCTGCAGCAGAAATACTGTAAGATGGAGACTGTGAAACAGGAACTGCAACATAGACACAAATAATGTAAGATGGAGGTTGTGAAACAGTAACTTACTTCCCAACGTTGTGTTACAGACTTCTCACCCATTAGACTGCTAAATAAGCCAGACCTAAAATACAATAATATTTCAAGCTTGTTAATATTTTCCTGTATGTGAATGACCCAATGAATGGTTATACAGCTAGCATGTTTAGCTTAGCATTAACCCTTATTCTACCAGCCCCATGTACTTTTACATTGACTTGACCAGATAAGGGTCAAGGAACGGTGGTTCAATCCTTGTTGTCAGCTGTAAACTCAAGGTCAAACCATTCTCTTGAAGGGGACATTGGTCCTATTTGCTGTCTTGTGTATGTAAAAAGAATGCAGCACCAGAATGTAAATAGTGTTGATTACAGTAGGAGAACCAGATATAAATACTTGTATATATATTTCAAATAAGATGAGACATTCAAGTTCATATTGACCACTCCAACATTCTCTTATAACATGGCTGAATTAATGAATGAATAATAAATGAAATATGTATGAATGAAGAAGTGAACCTTACCCAACTTCAACTTGTGCATTTCTTTTCTGTCCTGCCACTGATTGGCTGGCACTATCAGTAAGACCAGTAGCCTCGGCTATAAACCTTGCATTCACTTTATTCCTGATCCGTTTCGGGAAAGCCAATAAGAAGTTGCGTCCGTCCGATGAGAACACTTCCAGTGCAATTGGCTGCAGTAGATACCTTCGTTTATGGACCTCCCTGATGTCCTCGTATGCAAATTTACTATTTAGCCTCTTCTGTGTGGTTCGTTTTGTCAGGGTAGCTCGCGGAATGATTGGATCTTGGTGACTATAGGGATTAGATAAAATTAATACATCGCAGTCTACAGTTTCTTAATACCGATAAATATTGGAAAATTTTAAAGCACTTAATTACCCAGTGAAAGTTTATGCATTTGTATGTTTTGCAAGTATCTAAGCATGTTTTTGGACTTATCGACTAGTTCAAAATACCAACGCGCAATATCTGGGAAAGGGGGTATTGTCGTGTAATAATAACCTTTAACCTCTACTTACCCTGGCGGCAGTAAATCAATATCACAAATTTCTTTTGTTGACAGCAAAGTAAATCCATCAATGATATAGAAATGTTCTTTACAGAAAAGTAATAAGCCCTCTGAAGTATCCAGCCCTTGAATTCTAGCACATCGGAACATATGCCGAATCTACAAATAGATGAGAAATATAATAGAGTAACTTAGGGAGACATAAAGGTGAACAATTGTCAGGAAAACACTCTTTAAGTCCCCTTAAAACAGGATTCAATGACACATGATTTGTCATAAAGTAAACAATAGAATCAGCATTAACCTTGTTTTTCAGGAGCAGTCTTTCAGATTGGTGAAAATTCTTGAAACAGAATTTTGCATATTTTAAGGTATTTTTTTTAATAATTCCTTTCTTAATTTTGGATCAAATGGACATAAAAACATAAAATAATGTTATTTGTTTTGAGTTAACATGCAATGAGTTATGAAATGAAGTTTAGTATAGAAAGTAATACAAACTAGTCAAACGTACATATCTGTATTAATGTGGGTAGTCTACATATAGGTGTACAGCACGATGAATCTGTGAATCTACGGAATCAGCGAACTAACCTGAAACTTACAGCTACTGTAATTGCTTTATTAGTTGGACATGTGCTTACATAAATTACAGACATGTGGCAATGATCAAAATGATTTTAAAATAATTGTTGGTTTATTTGCGCTTTTATTATAAATGAGCTTCTAATATAGTAAATATGGTATAGCGTTATTTTGACCAAGTGTAATTTTCCCATATTATAATTAACAGCTTGACAGAGTAGGTAACAAGGTACAAGTTTAAACATAGAACACATGAGAAGAGAAACGTCAATGACAAAACTAAACCCTCATCAGATTTTGTGATATACCGGTACATGTAACTGTTTCAATATGCCAATTTGGCTCCGAGATCATATCTATTTTGCTTTTATAATGTTTTAATTAAAATATGAATTTTCAAATAACCTTTTCTCCTTCTTCAAGTAATCTCAATACAGCCTGGTTATCTGCTTTGTCTCCATCAGATTCAGTATCCGTAGCAACTGAAGGATCAAAATCTTCATCATCCAACTTCTCAGATACTGATTTATAACTGCCTTGTCTGGAGAGCAAAGTAAAAGGGCGCAAACCAGTACTATTTGGATCTGCAACACAATATTTATTTCATGGTCAATAACATATTTTATTATTTAATAAATTATTTTTTAAGGATTAATCCTACCTAGACATTCGCTGAAATTGTTCAAGATTTGACAATCAAAGCAGAAAATTTGGGTGACAGTTAAACTAAGAAAATAATTTGTTTTAATTTGAATAATTTTTCAAAATCAATATGGGTTAGGTGCCAGGAGAGATATAACTTTGACAAATCAAAACAAATCTGTTTCCATAGAAACAATAAACTATTTAGTCGAGCAAACATCTGCCAAAATAAATTAAATTTTGAACTTGAATTTGTTTAGTTCAATGTTGAAATGCTGATTTTTCAGACAGAATTGTGGCATTGAGTTATCCTTGCTACATTAAAATTAACAACCACCATCAAATATATATAAGCACCTTATTAGACGTGAAAATACCTAAAAAAAACTTTTACACTTGTCAAAACCCACACAATGTTTTGACGTCACTTATGACTCACCCATTTTGTTAGCATCTTCTTCAGCGACATCCATATCTTGTTGTGGTTCGTTATCAGTTGCAGGGAGGTCAGTCACATCAGCATCTACAATATTTTGAGATTTTTGTTTTCGAAGTCTTTTGTAATATTCTTTGCTATCAAAACTGATTGCCACTCTGTACTTGGATGGTTTCTGTAGACGGAATAAATAATACAGTAAATGCATTAATTACTCACTGGGTTTAATTTCGCTATTTTTTGCTGATAAGTGAAATCCGCTAAATTAAATCTACGTGAACATGTAAAATAATAATAAAACTCATTGTCGCCTTGACAAATTCAGGAAATTAAAACACAGTGAATATGCTCAAAACATCAAAATAGTGAAATTAAACGTCAGTAAAAATAAATGATTTCACAGTACATGTATCAATCACCACAGTGGGAAAGTAAATGTAAAACTATACTGTATTTTACACACTTTACAATAGGTACAATTAAGTTGCAGTACTCTGAGATCATTTCTAAAGCTTTATTGGAATCCTAGATTTTTATTGACAGATATTCGATGCAATGAATATTTACAAACTGCGAAAAATTTTATAAGATTCATGATTTGAATTTCCATCCATATGGGATGATTCAAGTATCAATACTTTAGAGACATAATACATGTAAATCAGAAATGTTACGAAAAAAAAAAAATTCTCTCTATGTGGCACCTGTCTAAAGTCATGCAATATTCACAATACGTTGTACTTACGCCATTTGAGTCTTGGTCCATTTTATGTGGATAATGAATATAGAACATATCATTACGTTCCAACTTTTTCCTCATCCTACATGGCCCCTCTGTCATATCCAGCATCCATTTGTCTAACCTGGATCCTTTCGGTGGTCCCCATAACCCACGTTCTCGTGTCAATTCAGTCTCTGTCTGCGCCACTCATCATAGATATATCTCTGCATATGTTGCTGGCTCTGAATCAATCACAAAAAATAGCAGTCGAACTTTAGAACATTTTTCAGGGCTCAAAGAAAAAACAAAAGATTCTTAAAAGTGAAGGTTGGTAGTCACATGGTAAAATTGAGTATAATAAGTATTTAAAGTATTTAAAAAAAAAAAAAATGAAATATTAGTTGACAGAGAAAGTGCATAACACACATTTAAAGTTACTGTAAATTACCAGCACTTTACTTGGGATACTAGTTTTAGAAAATGGCAGCCCTAAACGATAGAATCGATAATCTGTTAAGCAAAGGTGACTGCTAATTTTGACTTAACAGTATTATAATTATGTTGATGACTTTTGATCAAACATTCATGATTCACTAAAAAACAGACAGAGAAACAGATATGAATGGCTGGCAGGACAGAGATATACAGTGGACATACAGACAAATACAGAATGAGAAAAAAAGATTTTAGATGGACGAAAACAGAGATACGGATGGATGGACAGACAAAAACTTACCTGCTGATATTGCTTATATATTAACTCTACAAAGTCCTTAACTACTGTTATATGAGTGAACATCCACATATTGGCCTCCTGTAAAAACAAAGTCAATGGATTGTGACAAAAAAAAAATTGCTTGCACAATAGCCAATGTACATGATCCTTTGTTTAAACAAGCGAAATTACATTTTGCCAAGTGAGGGCGCAATCCATGTACATAGACTGTGTCAATCTAATGGCCTGAATGTTAACTGGAAGTGGTCAATAATAAATGTTCAACATCCAGAGAATAAAAGTTAATCTCTGTCGACAAGGCTGATGAGTGTGAAATAAGAGAGATTACCTGCACTGAAGACAGACTATGTTTGATATTTGAGAGATCTTTTCGACTCCTACCAGCTCTACTTGTTAGTCGCTGTAAACCACTGCTAACTTTAGCTAGTTTCTACAGAGAAAAAAATTACAACTTTTTCATGACATAACAGCAAAACATGATGCAGACAAGCTAGCCAGTGACGCACATTCAGTTAAACCAGTGGGTAACACCAGCAAAAAATCATTGAATGTTTTTACTCACTGATTGATTTTGCTGGGTTATATCTCTGGCTAAATTTCTTTTCTCACTTGCTATGTAATTGTTCCACATCTTGGCAGCTACATCGGACATACCAGACCTGTTGAGGTGGGAGTGACAGAATAAAACATGGCTGTGTAAATGCAGCTAGTCAGTTACTATGTACATAGTTATAGTAACCTATACATACTCTGAAAGCTTGGATATAGAAAAGCGCACACACACATCTTGTGTGTTGTAGATTATATGATATCAACATGTGAAGTACATTTAATTAAAATACATTCTGAAGTTTTTGAAACTTTGCTTACATAGGCTGAAATGAGACAAATATCAATACAATATCACCACTAGTTCCCTCTTGTTATCGCAAATTCACAAAATAGTCCTATTTATAACATGCACTTTCCTTCAAAGGATTGGGACTAAAATAACCAAATTTTTTGAATAAAAACTGAAAAAAACTGACTCAAATTATGTCTGTTGGCTCCAAAATTAGGGTTAATTTTTCTGAAATATTGAATAGGTGTAGAAACATTTGGGCAAGAACGTCTGGTGGTGTGAGAAGGTTAAGCATTGAAAGTACATTTTCTGACTGAATGTTCTCTATCAGCTGATAACAACAACATGTTGCTTGTTGAAGTTTGGAGATGAGCTGCTGACACTGTCAGTCGAAATGATGTTCGAATGATGTAAGTGGAACTCTGTAGAAAAGTGCACAGTTCCTTGCACCACATTGTAAGCCTGTAATTTAGTCCCGCTTGAAATATTTAATTCTTCAAAGCACCACATCCTAGATTTATTTATAACATACAACAGCTTCAACATAACATACCGGTAATAAGGTTATAAGCGAGACTTTCGAAAGGTCACATCCTGGTCCTTCACGGGTACACAAATTCAATATCAATTGAAATACCTCATAAGTTTTCTGCTCAAAATGCAAGAAGCTGACACTGAAGTCAAAAAACCTGTTAAACTTGGAAATAAATTAATGTATAGTTTTGGAAATTATTGTTGCTATAGGGCAACAATACCCTCAAAAATACCAGGATGTGTGACCTTTAGGGGTCATGCATAAAGCCTATTATAAAGTTGATGCATATGCATGAATACAGACAGTACTAGGACTCGCACAACACAATTAAATGACAGCATAAATGTAAGCTAATGATGTATGAATCAGGAGATGAATCAGGAGATGAATCAGGAGATGAATAACCTACCTGGCGATGTTAAGATCAACAGTATGCACTTGTCTGGCTGGTGACCTAGAATGATTGTAGTATTGAGAAATCTTATGAATGTACTCTTATACCATGAATTGTGAATTTAGGTCTTTTAGTATTTTATATGAAATGCATGCAATGCTTATAGTTTGAAAACAAGCCTTGATGGACTATGGTCAATATCTATATCACTCACAAAGATTAGATACACACATGACCCAGGGATTAGATACCCACATGACCCAGGGATTAGATACCCACATGACCCAGGGATTAGATACCCACATCACCCAGGGATTAGATACCCACATCACCCAGGGATTAGATACCCACATGACCCAGGGATTAGATACCCACATGACCCAGGGATTAGATACCCACATGACCCAGGGATTAGATACCCACATCACCCAGGGATTAGATACCCACATCACCCAGGGATTAGATACCCACATGACCCAGGGATAAGATACCCACATGACCCAGGGATTAGATACCCACATCACCCAGGGATTAGATACCCACATCACCCAGGGATTAGATACCTGCTCACGCAGGGATTAAATACCCACATCACCAAGGAATTAGTTACCCATAACATCCAGTAATTAGATGTCCACATCATCAAGAAATGAAATACCCACACCACCCAGGGATTCGATATCCACAACACCCAGGATTTATATACCCACAACACATGGCGATTAGATACCCATATCAACCATGAACTGAATATCAACATCACCCAGGGATTAGGAAGCAATGAACTACTGAAACTGGCTGTCTCTTTCAAAAGATCGATAACATTTAATTCAACGTTTTAAAACTAAGGCTTTGTCAGTAACTGGTAATTAGTGACATGCCTAATGAAAGGTCTTCCATGGAGTAAATTAGATTACCCAGGGATAAATACCCATAATGCAGCATGACAAAATCTTACCCATGATTGGCCACAGTGATACTTTGAGGCAAAGTAACCTTGAATATATCCTCAATAACCTGAAAAAAAGTAAAATACTTGATAATGTAACAGATTTTGAGAACGCAACAAGCATTTCAAGAAGCTCTAAATTACAAATGCATTTATTTTCTGTGGTTTATCCCGTATCGTTGTCTACACACCATACTTTAAATTTGTTCACCACTCAAAATGTTCTCAAGTTATTAATTTGAAAGCATGTGAACAAATTGATTATATGTCAGTGACTCCTTGTCAATGGGGAACCTAAGTGATAAGGAGTTTATGGTACTTTCAATTGAATGTTTTTGATCACATTGTATTAAATGTTATAAACTTGTCTAGAGTGTAAAACTAAATGAGAAATTTTCACTGTAACAATATTATGCAATACGTGTGTTTGTTTTATATACTTACAGCTTTTTTACATGTTATGAGTTCATCCCAGACTCTTTTAGCTGCATTCCTGACAAGTAACTGTGCTTCTTGAGAGGTACTGCTCTCGTTATTCAGGCTGCCACTGGAAGTGTACGATGGCGAGTCTTCGTCATCGTCAGCCATCGTATCCACATGCCATAATGTATTTCTATTGGATCCAGCATCCGTGGCCGATGAAGCGAGTGATCCAACACTCAAACTAGCAACAAACCAGAAAATTGAAATCAGTGAATTATCCATTAACCTTTTTACCATAAGACTTATTTGCCAACATTTTTTTCCACCTTTTTTTTTTTTATTTTCTACAATATTTCTGGAAATAAACCCTAATTTTGAAGCCAACAGACATATTTGAGTAAATTTTCAGTTTTTACTCAAAAAATTTTGCTATTTTGGTCCCAATCTCCTGAAAGAAAGTGCAGACTACAAGTGGGACTATTTTGTGAATTTGTGATGAAAAGAGGGAACTGGTAGTGAAACAGTTAACACTGTTGATGTTGTTTTTTCAGTTATTTGTGTCTATCGTCTATCTATGGTGACTTTTAACAGGTGATGTATTACTTGGGGAAAATAATTTATGGCACCAAAACATATGTAAACATTTATCTCTCTCTAAGCACCAAAACATATGTAAACATTTATCTCTCTCTAAGCAAAAAAACATATGTAAACATTTATCTCTCTAAGCATCAAAACATATGTAAACATTTATCTCTCTCTAAGCACCAAAACATATGTAAACATTTAACTCTAAGCACCAAAACATATGTAAACATTTATCTCTCTCTAAGCACCAAAACATATGTAAACATTTCTCTCTAAGCACCAAAACATATGTAAACATTTATCTCTCTCTAAGCACCAAAACATATGTAAACATTTATCTCTCTCTAAGCACCAAAACATATGTAAACATTTATCTCTCTCTAAGCACCAAAACATATGTAAACATTTATCTCTCTCTAAGCACCAAAACATATGTAAACATTTATCTCTCTCTAAGCACCAAAACATATGTAAACATTTATCTCTCTCTAAGCACCAAAACATATGTAAACATTTATCTCTCTCTAAGCACCAAAACATATGTAAACATTTATCTCTCTCTAAGCACCAAAACATATGTAAACATTTATCTCTCTCTAAGCACCAAAACATATGTAAACATTTATCTCTCTCTAAGCACCAAAACATATGTAAACATTTATCTCTCTCTAAGCACCAAAACATATGTAAACATTTATCTCTCTCTAAGCACCAAAACATATGTAAACATTCATCTCTCTCTAAGCACCAAAACAGATGTAAACATTTATCTCTCTCTAAGCACCAAAACATATGTAAACATTTATCTCTCTCTAAACACCAAAACATATGTAAACATTTATCTCTCTCTAAGCACCAAAATCAACTTTATGCACCATCCACAAAATAGTTTCATTTTTAGTATGTTGTTTTTTTTTTTGACAGAAAACTTTCAACTTTTTTGATCAAAAACTATAAGCAACATCAAATTCTGTCTGTTTGGACCAAAATTAAGATAGAATTCAGTGAAAATTATTGAAAATGTGAACAAATTTAAGACTATTTTGAGCGGGACAAAGATTTAGCACTCAAAGGGGAAATGATATTTGATTATTTAAAGCGTCAAACATGTTAAAATATTGTATGTATGGATATTTGCAGGCATCCTATTGTTGTAGGGCTGCACTTTTTCTTATCTAATCTTTTTCGGCTGAGTAGCTTATTTTACTTTATGGAATATGTACCAGCCTTAAAGCGCGGTAGTCGTCGCGCTGCGCATGTGCCACATTTGTATTGATAAACATTGATTTTCCCACAATCCAATGCGCTCTTCTAATGAAAATCACAAGTATGAGGTTTGACCTGAGCGCGACTTGCACTGATTACCGCCGGTGACTCCTTCGATGCCTTTTAATAACATGAAAATTACTTAATTAAAACTTGGAAACGTCTCAGTTAGTACTCGTTGATCTGCGCAACAGTCAAAGTCGCCATCTTTGTTTATATGAGACCCATATATCTCGCACATGCGCAGTGTGACGACTACCGCGCTTTAAATATGAAGGCAATTATGATCTTGAAGATGTGAAATTTCACAATCAGTAATATGAATAGATCTACTCAGTCATCATTGATGACTACTACTAAGCAAAGAATAAACATCTTGGGTTTTACGTTTTGTGCCTATAAAGAAATGATTATTCGTAAACGTACCTCACTTGATCTGTCAGACAGAACAGACAATGACAAAGGCAAGCAATGAATTCTGGTTCATAATTTCCTGGCCCAAAGACAAGATTACGGCTGTTGGTAAGCCTATGCAGGGAATCTAACAGTGCCATTTGATCTGTAGACAGAAAGAGAAAATAAACATCACTGAGTGAGTGCTAATGTAAATCAGCAATTCACCTTCACACAGAGTTCTGACCAATAGCATGGCAGCAATTAATCACAAGCACTGTAGATAATACATTCAGTCAGAAAATTGAATTTGGACAATAGCTCATTAAACTCGTTAATAAAATATCCAATTTTGAGAAAGAACGGATAAATACTGTGCCAGTTATTAGCACAAGGAAAGATAAAACTATGAAGTGAGCGAGTATTGTACATCATTTTAATGGAACAGACTGACTCATGGGTTGGGGCGAAATAAAAAAAAAAGACACTTACCAGCAACATTATTATGTGGTCTTGAGAGCTGATATAATACAGTCCTATTTAAGCAATGATAGATTTGATCCAGGGAGATACCAGTAGCTACTCAAAAACAAACAAGATTTGGTAAATAAAATGACCTTGTCAATAATTCAGACTCACATTGGACTAAAAAGTCCACATACCAGTCAGGTATGTACTGTACTCAGCTCTTGACTAAATTTGTGAAATCTACCCGAAGGTGAAAAATATTGAAAGTTTTTCAAAAAAAATAAATAATATGAACTGTTACTTACATCTTCTTTTTGCCTGTGCTAACAGTTTGCTTATGAAATCAAATACTTCTTTAGATTCTTTTGCAAACACACCTACAACAAAATACATGTCTGAATGATCTGCAATCTCAAGATGGATGTACCCCACCCCTAACCTAAACTGTAACCCTAACACTCCGCCACGCCCCCCAATGTAATGGTGTATGTCCCTTCAGATAAATATACATGGGTAGGGGTATGTAGGGGTATACTTAAGTGCTGATCACCCCATCCTTGACCAAGTGGTTCTTTCCTGAACACAGTCTGTTACGAGTCATATGATGCTTTCAGACCAGGTCATGTATAGCACATACCTCTACACATGCTACCTTGCATGATGGGTGTTTCCCTCAAAGGCTAGGCCCACTGCCGAAACAGTGGATTGGTGTCAGGAAGGGCATCCGGCCAATTATCTCATGCTCCAAAAAAACCTTAAATGGCAGTTACAACCATTATTGCCACTTGTTTAAGGTGAATCCGGCCACCCTCATCTTCGGGGACCAAACCGGATTTAAAACTCTGGACTACTACTACTACTACTTAAAGAGGGGACACATAAAATTAAATTGGGAAGAGGCATTGGAGGGGCAGGGTTAGGATGTTAAGTTTATGGGTAAGAGGAACTCTTAACTAGTACAGTAATTGCATCAAATATTCACTAGGCTTTAATTTAAAATAAAATCTCCTAAATTAAATCCAGAAGAACACGTAAAATACCAGTAGAACTCTTTGTTTTCTTGGCATATTTGTGATTATGCTCAAAATAGTGAAATTAAAAACCAGTAGAAATAAACGGTTTTATAGTTTGTTTGTTTTTTATTCAAAATAATTTTGTGCCAAGTGGTCTTGATATTAAGGTCACTGTTGATTCTCTTGAGCTTCTTTTCGTGTGCAAATTGCAAATGATAGTGTCACATATAGTGCATATATAAACTATACTTTATGTGACATAAGGCTGTGTGACCATCTTCCTATCATATTAGTAGGGGTAACCAGGCCTGGCTGACCTTAACAAAAGTTCTTTCAAAGTAATATTCATTGAATGATTCTTGACCAGTAGCTTTGGCCTCCCAATTAAGATAAGGACACTTCACCAAGACTTCACTTCATCACGTTTTGGCATTCAACCCCAAGCTTATAAAGTTTGGTAGAAATGTGTCATGAATAAGTCGTCCTGCATTTTACTATTTTAGAGTGTGTGTAGAATGTTAGTATTTATCAGGCATCTAAGAAAATGTTCAACTTTGTCCTAACTCTGCTTCTTGTTGTGTCTACAGTGCCCAGTTGTGCACAAGAACAACCATTACATATTATAAATGTTCAAGGAATAAGAAAAAAGAATAAAGCATATGATAACACTGTCATGTGCAATGTAAAATAAAATTTTGTCATCAAGGCAAAGAATCCTATTTTTTTTTTCACCTTGCCATAACTTATCTACCACTCGTGATGTGAAATAGAAGATATTCTGAACCAAATTGCTGTAACTGCCACCAATGGTGATTGGTAGAGCTGCTTCTTCTCCCAGCAAAGCATCTGCCGCCAGTAAATGGTCCATTAAATTCATCATTACTTCAGTCTGAAACTCTCGTACTAAAGCATGGCTTGCTCGCTCTGGAGATGCCTAATAATATAAAACATGTACATTTAAATATACCAAATACCACTAAGTTTAATATTCTGAGTGCATGTGATGAAACGTGAATGAACACTAGTATAAATAATCAGTGTTGTACTGATCATGCCACGAAAAAAACATTTGTTAGTTCATATGTGGCTCTATTGTAGATATATTTCTAATATCCTATATTCAGTACCAGTCTAACACTATTATTCCCCACTCTTTCTTAGGACAACATGGCATATATGGAAGGCCGAGTGGTATGATTGAGAAAGTTTTTGCCTAACATTTATGCTAGGTACTGTGAAATACTTTAATTTAGCTGTTTTATCTGTTTTGTATGAAGTTTATATTTACTGATATGTGAATACTGAAACTTTACGAAACTTAACAGTGGTCCGCCAGCTCAACCGATTCACGGCGTTACTAGACATTACAGAATGTGATTAAATATTCATGAAGATGTGTAGACGAACAAACAAGTAAACAAATTCTAAAATATTGATTAATAACAGTTGTGGCATGGAAATGATTTCTCAAGGGCTCAAGGGATTCGAAAATCACAGCAAAATAATGCAGTAGGAGAAAGTTGAAGAGTTTCTTTACTGTCTACACATGTTGTTCTGATTTTATCTTTTTAACACACTATACTGTGTTCTATGAATACATCATCACTGTTAGCGCTGGGTTATGGCAATTTTTAGCGCCCCTGTGATGACTAGAATGGTCTATTGTCAGCCACATTAAAGTGCATGTTTAGTGTGTATTCACAATAAATCACAACTTTTACCATTGCAAGGTGGAACAAAAAAGTGACTTATCAAACTATACGTATATCAAGTAATCAAACGTAACAAATGGACATTTATTATTTTCCAGAAAAAAAAATTGTTGGTCATAAAAAAAAAATTAAAAATTGGGGGAATTACAGCTAATACTTTAATTGCATATATCCAGTGTTTATCAATTTCAGACGTTTTTTACGAACCTTCTAAAAGCATTTCAGATGCGTTTCAACATGTTCAGCATTCAGACTCTGTTAATTTGACTTATATGGAAACAAAGAAACAAATATTACATTGCCCTAAATTTAAGCACAATTAGTTGCAAACTTCCGAATTCGAGGAATTAATTTTAAATTTCAGACCTTTTAAGAACCTAAAAAATTTCTTATATTTCCGAATTTTTTAAGGCTTTAAAAACAAGCCTGTTTTTTAAGACTTTCACAGAAATCCTATTCTGATGACTGTTCTTACCACATTGTCCATGATTTGATTTAATCTTGATTTAAAGTAAAAATACCTCTTTTCATGAAGGTAGAGAATATGAAAAATATTACCTGACATTAAAACACAAATCAGGTCCATGACTATACACTAAAATACAGATCATAACATACATGTATGGAGTAAAACATGTGTGGCTATTAGTGTATGAATCACTATTTTTACCTCAAGTAATAAATCCAACACTGGTGCTCCTTTACTTGGCTGTGGTAGAGACAGACTGTCAACTACAATCACTCGCAAGAAATCAAACACAAACTTCCTTGCTGGGTGAGTTGTCAAAATTCCTATATTTGAAAAATAAAAGTGACATTCCATGTAATTGTAGATAATATTTGGTAATCCTTGATCTAAGTAACTATTAAAAATAGCTAGACGTTTCAAACAATGGCTATTTATGTGGCGAATATCATGCATCCATTAAATGATTTATAAACCTGAATGGAAATGACATATTGCTAGAACTGTGGCTAATATCACACATCCATTAAATGATTTATAAACCTGAATGGAAATGATATATTGCTAGAACTGTGGCTAATAGAACATCGTACTTTTAATCATGTGTGCATACCCAGTAACTATTTGACAAGAACTGAAAATTTAAAAAATTAATGGTGTTGTTAGCTGAAGTACATGTAGTTATTGAATAAACATATACTGTGAAATACTTTATTTTAGCTGGAATTAATTTTTGCTGAAAAGACTTTTTGGGTGTTTTGTATGGAATTTGTTTTCACTGATTTTTGATGAGTTGAATGTTAAATATAGGATAAAAAAGGATATTCGCTGGATTTTATTTTCACTGAATCATAGCGAAAATTAATTCCAAGCGAAAATAAAGTATTTTACAGTATGTATCACTGTTAATAAACAAATTACAGGCAATGTTGTTACAACAGATTGCGAGCTAGTGCTTATCACTGAGCAGTGCTTCTAGCAGACTAAATACAGTATACGTTAGCACTTGCACACAAAAAACGTTAAAAAAAAAATTTGAATGTTTCACTGAAAAAAACCTAAAGTAATTAATACCTGGTATTGAGTTGCCTCTTTCTATCGGTGTTCTTACATTCACCTCTGATCCAGACCATAACTGTAAATAGTAATCAAAGAAAACTTTAAAAAAACTCTCATAGCCTCAGGATGATGACGTGAGTGGGTTATCTTAGAGAATCTATGTACAAAGCTTCACCAAAATCTAACGAGTGGTTCTTGAGATATCAACACGAAATCGTCCAATTGGCTAATATTACAATGCAAATTAGGCAATTATTATGCACAAATGTCAAGAACTAAACAGGTGTAGATAGTCTAAGAGCACTGATTATGTATCAAGATATTTGTGGAACAGCCAAAGAGTGTGCAGTTTATGCAAATTAGGCAATTAGTATGCACAAATTTCAAGAACTAAACAGATGTAGATAGTCTTTAATAGAGCACTGATTATGTATCAAGATATTTGTGGAACAGCCAAAGAGTGTGCAGTTTATGCAAATTAGGCAATTATTATGCACAGATTTCGACTCAAAACTAATCATGTAAGTAGTGTATCCCAAAGAACCTACATAGAAAGTTTCATTGAATTTTCACAAGGGTGAAAATTACAGTTTATTGGTTTCAATAAGCGAAATCTTGCACATTGTGTTAAAGGCATGCATCAAAATAAAATAATCAAATAATTTATTTTGAACTTGAATCTCTTTTTATCGCTCAATGTTAAATGTTGACCTTTCAAGGAAAAATATGGCATTGTGATACAAAATTGACCGTCATCAAATGTGTATACTGTAAAATACTTTATTTTAGCTGGAATTAATTTTTGCTGAAAGACTTTTGGGTGTTTTTTATGGAATTTATTTTCACTGATTTCTGATGAGTTGAATGTAAAATAAAGGAAAATAGGTATATTCGCTGGATTTTATTTTCACTGAATCATTCCTTCACCGAAAATAGCTAAAATTAATTCCAAGTGAAAATAAAGTATTTTACAGTAATACAATATTAAGCACGGAAACACCTCAAAATCTAGTGAGAAGATCTAGTCTGAAGTTTTAATGTCACTATGATGCTATGACCTTATTGTTTGTCCCGTTTTTGTTTTCATGCGTAACAGGAAATTTTGCAGTGACTGGAAAAAGATTTATTGATTTGATCTACAAAATGGAAATCTCACCCTGTAATCATCGGCTGGCGAAGACAACTCACTTCCAGTTTCACTAACCTATATGAAGAAAAGACAAGAAATCATTAACACAGCTATCAGGGGAAAACGACCGCTGAAGCGATCACAGGTATATGATCACTTGTGCACTAGTTGGGTTAAAAAACACTAGGAAGCTAAGCAATCATTTGAAAACTGGAATATTAGGAATTCTAGTCAGTAAAAATGTAGAAGAGTGAGTAACAACCACCACTACAATATGCAGTCACCAAAAGATGCACAGAAACCAGTATCAAGACAGAATGGATGCGGTGAACATTGACTATATATATTTTAAAGCGCGGTGGTCGTCGCACAGCGTATGTTCGAATTTCATGTAAATAAACAATGTATTTTACATGCGTTGTATACGTCGCTATGAGTCCCATATCGAACAGGACGAGGCACGACGACTGCCGCCCTTTAAGTTAGATGTATAGTACACAGGCTAAATTGAATGAACAAGACATGTACTGTAGATTACATTATTTTGGTTGTTTTTGCTGAAATCATGGGAAAAAAATTCAGTAACAAATATTTTTTCTCTGGAGTTTGTGTCATTGATACCAAATTGGTAAAAATGATGTGTATAGGTGAACCCATATTGCTATACTCTGTAAAATATTCTCAGCTTTTAAATAAAGTAATTCACAGTACACACAGTTGGAGTACAGATATCTGAAACATCCATGATAGGCTCACATTAAACAGCATCCAAACTAATTTCATAAAATCTATTAAAAGTCTTTTACAGTAATCATATTTTTAATTTTTGCTTATCGCTGGGATTAATTTTGGCTGTTTTGTTTGAAGTTTATTTTTTACTGATTTTTGACGAGTTGAATGTAAAATATAGGCAAAAAGGTATTTTGACTGGATTATATTTTCACTGATTCAACCATCAGGCGAAAATAAAAAAAAAAAAATTCCAAGTGAAAATAAAGCAGGTTATATCTCCATACAAAAATAACAAGATAAACATATGCATTAATTTGATGTTAAAATTCCCACACTCATTACTGACAAAAACAATTTTTCTTTTTATGCTAAAAGTTTGGCCAAATTTTGAATAAAACTTTAATGTGTATACTTGTATGTATGAATATCAAAAGATTTTTAGAAGTAAGTTTGGATGCTGTTGAACCTTGCAATGACCATGAATTTACAAATTTGCTGACATGAAAAGGAAATCTTTTATTTCTCACCATCACATATTATATAGGAAAGATATTAATGAACCATTTATTATATTGTCTTCTAGAGGTTACACTGCCCTCTAGTGGCAATGTAAAACTACACAAGTATGTTACAAATGGGGAGATGTATATAACCAAAGGTAGATAAAATTAAGGGTAATAAACTTCTAGTCTGCGGTTGTATGATAGAAATCACAAAACTAGAATACATTATCTGAGAATCGGTCAAACTGTACAATGTTCAAATTACCAAAACTATTATGATTGCAAACGCATACATGCAACCACATTCACATAGAATTTATTTTTTTGACATAGCTGGAGACTGAAGATATCAGTTTCTTATTATTTTTCACAAAATTACCTCACTCAAATAAACAAAACTTGCAGGCTCAGCGAAAATGAATTCCAAAGATGAAATTCAGCATAAAAAAAGTTGGTTTGTGGGATTACAGGGAAGCCGGTAAGTTCAGTGATATGGAAGCAGCCATTTTGAAGCTTAGCACCAGTTTCAGAGAAGTCACAAAAGTTACATGTATAAATATTAGTTTTAACACAACTTAATATAAAACACAAAACATTATAAGTAGAGAAAGTGAAGAAATTCAAGTCAAAATACAGATTTAAACTTTAATTGAAACATTTTCTTCTACATTAATCCCTTTCTATGTTCTTGAAATTCCCCAATTTTGAAGTTTAATGAACAAGCTAAACTTGATATTGCTTCAAATTTCCAAGATTGTTTTTTACCAAAAACTATGGTTATGATTTCAACAATTTCTAAATATTGGAAACGATGTACTTGAAGAATGCAAAAGAGGACATAAGTCAAATCAAACAAAGTGCGAAGACAAAAACCATGCAATATAATAAAGTATGTTAATGATTAAAATACCCAAGCTTAAGCCACAAACGTTTAACTTTGCTGTTTCATGTTTACTTGGTCATTTCTCAAAAAAACATTGCTGTCAGCTATTGACTGTGGATATGATGATATGATAAACACTTGAGGTCATGTGATTATGGAAATTCCCAGCATTCAGAATTTAAAATAACCAATGAACAAAAAAAAGTATTTATTTTAATAAACACTGTTACATGATTATGTTGTTTTAATAGGTTATTAGCACTTTTTAAAAGTTAAAACACATACTGAAAATGGTTTAACAGCTTTCACGATGATAACAAATGAAATGTATTTTACCTATTAGCAAAATAAATCTACAAGTCTTTTCCGCAGGGTTAACTAAGTAGTATCTGTGTACTGTTTTTTTTTGGCCATTCATATTTCAAATTATTGTGTTTTGATGGAAATTTTGCTTTCCTTTTGCTGTACTTTAAAAGTTCTGCCAGTTCAAAACTTGATGGCTTTAAAAACTAATTATTTAAAAGTGGTCCAAACTTCTTAGTTTTTACGGTTATTGACCATAAACAGTGTTGTTATAAATGATACCAATATGGAGAATGTTTTCATTGATGAACTGAACTACTCTATAAAGGCAAAATAATTAGTGTGCACACATGTACAGAAGCAAACTGAAAACAACTGGCAACTATCTGAATAACTTGAACATACCACAACAAACTCTTCCAAAACTGAGCCACCCTTTGAAAAATAGAAAACAAAAGTACAGTTTATAACATATATTTATATAATGCAAAGAAAGAAAGAATAAAAGCAAATGTTAAGAACACAAGATGAAAATTAACATCACTAATGGCAGTGGAGTCAAACTATTTTGAAATCCCAAACTTGATTGGTTGTCAGACAACAAGTTTTCTGATTGGCTAAATTTATTGAGTTCAAATTTTGAGTAGTTGAGTAGCCAATTGAGTGGGTGGCCGGTTAGGGGGGGGGGGGGATGTGCTTAGCAGTGTAGTGTGAATCCTAAAGAAAAGAACCATCAAATATGCAGTTTGGAAACAATATGGAAAAGACTAGAATCTATTGATACTTATTAATTAATATGATAAATAGAATGATAATTTTGAATCATGCCAAATAAAAACAAATTTGGTGTTTCCGGTAACAGTCTTAAAAAATACGAGGTATACTTTTTATTTTATTTTTTCCCAATGAGTTATACTTTTTTGTGAGAACATAATCATGATTTTAACTGTAGATGTAAAAAGGGATCAAACTTAGTCATATTAAAGAAATATATTCTGAAAAGTAAGTGCAATCATTCACAACATACAAGGAAGTAAATGAAATAAAAAAATACAACATTTGTGTAATGACCATAACTAATTTACATAGAAATAAATAATTTGGACCTCATTTGCATAGAAATAAATAATTTGGACCTCATTTGCATAGAAATAAATAATTTGGACCTCATTTGCATAGAAATAAATAATTTGGACCTCATTTGCATAGAAATAAATAATTTGGACCTCATTTGCATAGAAATAAATAATTTGGACCTCATTTGCACAGAAATAAATAATTTGGACCTCATTTGCATAGAAATAAATAATTTGGACCTCATTTGCATAGAAATAAATAATTTGGACCTCATTTGCATAGAAATAAATAATTTGGACCTCATTTGCATAGAAATAAATAATTTGGACCTCATTTGCACAGAAATAAATAATTTGGACCTCATTTGCATAGAAATAAATAATTTGGACCTCATTTGCATAGAAATAAATAATTTGGACCTCATTTGCACAGAAATAAATAATTTGGACCTCATTTGCATAGAAATAAATAATTTGGACCTCATTTGCATAGAAATAAATAATTTGGACCTCATTTGCATAGAAATAAATAATTTGGACCTCATTTGCATAGAAATAAATAATTTGGACCTCATTTGCATAGAAATAAATAACTTGGACCTCATTTGCATAGAAATAAATAATTTGGACATCATTTGCATATAATAAATAATTTGGACTTCATTTGCATAAAATAAATGTTTGTTTTTGTTGTTTTTTTGGCAGGTTGGATCACTGAAAACACAGAATTTATTTTTGTTGGCTTTGCTTCAAATAATATAATATGTTTTGAAGAACATGGCATGTTTGTGTCGTACAATCAGTAAGCTGAAACATAAAATGTTTAGTTCACATAATCATTTAGAACAAATTATAAGTATAAATTTAAATATAATCTAACGGTATGTTTAGAAGAACACAGTATGCTTGTGTCACAAAAATCATATTTAAAGCGCGGTAGTCGTCTCGCTGCGCATGTGCGACATTTGTGTTGATAAACATTGATTTTCCCATAATCCAATGCGCTCTTCAAATGGAAATCACAAGTATGAGGTTTGACCTGGGCACGACTTGCATTGATTTTCTGCCGGTGACTCCTTCGATACATTCCAATCACATGGAAATTATCGATTAAAGCTTGGAAACGTAGCAATTCGTACTCGTTGATCTGCACAACAGTCAAAGTCGCCATCTTGGTTATATGAGACCCATATATCTCGCACATGTGCAGCGTGATTACTAACGCGCTTTAAATGTAACCTATTTAGGAGATCATGATAATCAACATTAGGACCACATAGTTGCGTCATGTTTCATCAGTCAAATTACTTCCAAGGTTAAAACAAATGTATGTGTAGACCATAAACTTCTCAGAGTCGTGTATATAATCCTTACCTGATCAGAATTTGGTCTAATCGGGAAAAGTGTAGCAGCCAATCCACAGAGAAAATCACCACTCATACAGAGAGGAACTATGTCTGCTGTATTATGGTAGAGGAATAACAAGAACTGAATCAAAGTAACAGGATATTCAATCATCCATGCGTCTTCCTCATTCTGACAATTCTACATAAACGAAAAAAACGCTGAATTACATATATGAGTTCATGACGTGGACTTATAAGTTTGATATTTACAAGGTACTAGTAACATTTTAACTCTCCGGATGGTGTCAACTTACAAAAATAGTTTCAATTGATGTCTGCTTTCCTTCTCAGAAAATGTTTACAAACATTTTTAATTTTTTGATCAAAAAGCAGCTTCACATTTTGTCTGTTCAATCCAAATTATAGATTGCATTCTGTGAAAATTGTAGAAAATATGAACAAACCTGGCCAATTTTGAACGAAAAAAAAAAAAATTTATGCTCAAAAAGGCTTGTAGTATAATTACAGGTAACGGGTATATATACTACTGATAAATAATGCATCACACTATAAATAGAGTATATTTGATTTATTTCATGCCTGAAGATTAATCTAGCATTAAAACATGCCTGTATTTACATGTACTGTAAAGTCTATAATATGATGTATTAACTTTACAGTATGTCAAGAAAATGATGTCTTACACTACAAACATGTGTACTGATGTACTTATAATGTGTCAAATACTGTAAAAGGGTTAATTATTCACTGAGTTTTAATTTTGCTTATTTCGCTGACTGAAAAATGCACTAAATTAATTAAAACCCAGTGAATATGAAAAATTTAGCATAGAACATCTAAATGATAAAACCGTGAATTTAAAACCCACTGAATTTGCCTGAAATGGCAAATCAGCGAAATTTAAACCCAGTGAAAATTAGTCATTTTACAGCAT